AGACTCAGGAAAAAAGGCTCAGCAGTTAAGAGCACTTGCTGCTCTTGCAGAGGATCACCCATGTAGCCAGTCACAACTGTCAACACCAGTTCTAAGAGATAGATGATCTCTTCTGGCCTCTGAGGGAACCAGGCACACACATGGTGCACACACAAACATGCAAGCAAAACACTAATACATAAAAATAATAAAAATGAATCTTTAAAAAATAAAATTCTATGCCAGCACTCGGGAGGCAGAGCCAGGGAGATCTCTGAGTTTGAGGCCAGCCTGGTCTACAAAGCAAGATCCAGGACAGGCACCAAAACTACACAGAAAAACCCTGTCTCGGGGAAAAAAAAATACAGCAAACATTCTTTAATAAGGGTCTGCTTATAAAATTGGTCTTTAAGGCTGGAGGGATGGCTCAGCGGTTAAGTGCATTGGCTGCTCTTCCAGAGGTACTGAGTTCAGTTTCCAACACCCACATGGTGGCTCACAACCATTTATAACTATAGTCCCATGGAATCTGATGCCCTTCTCTGGTGTGCAAATGTACATGCAGACAAAACACTCATATACATAAAGTACATAAATTGTATAATTGGTCTTTATAACCAGGTGCCTTTAATCCCAGCACTGGAGAGGCAGGCACAGGTGGATCTCTAGATTCCAGGCTGGCCTAGTCTACAGAGTGAGTTCCAGAACAGCCAGGGCTACACAGAGAAATCCTGTCTCAAAAATAAACAAACAAACATAAATAAATAAATGGAAAATTTTGGAGCCCCTGTAGGGTGGTGGAAGCCCCTCGAAGGCTGACAACTGCTGCCATCCAGACCCAGATCCAACAGTTTGAGTTGGTTCACCCCAACATCTCTGTCTAGGAGCTGCTGGAGTACATGGAGGAGCCGGTCCTTCAGAACCAGATGTCATCACTGAGTAGGGTGGTCCTGGGCCTGCTGGCTGGCTTCCAGCTTAGAGCAGCCTGCCCTTTTTGGAGATGTTGGTGGAGGCAGTGGTACTGCCTGCAGGCTACAAGCACAGAGGTAGAGCAGGATCGCCCTGATTCTGGGCAGCAGAATATCCATGATGAGTTCTGGCAATGGACCAGTATTTATGGTTTGTCAGAAATCAGACACTTTGAACCAGACCAACGACTTGTAGTCAGTATTTGCATGTAAAACTGTTTGGGAAAAAGGATGTACTATGTGACACAGTTTCCAGTGCCATTATGAGGAAGGAATATAAAATGGAGAGGTGGAAAAGGTGGAGGGATGGAGAGGTGTGTGTGCAGTGGAAAGAGGCGAACTAGAGACTCTATGGTGATGACAGATGTGAGAGAAGCCTACGTGTTACCAACGAGGTCCATGAGGATGTCTGTGGTCTGTGCTGCTGCTGCCTGAAGCCATGGTGATGTCAATTGTCCGTGCTGCCAAAGTGTCTGGATGCACAGGGTCCTACTACAGCTTCGGACTTGTCCAAAGGCCATGCAGATGTCTGTGGGCCATGCTGCTGCCGGGGGCCATGTTGCTGTCCATGGGCTGGATTTCTGCAGGGAATCATATTGGTGTTCTTAGCCTGTATTGCCCCAGAAACCATGTTGATGTCCTTGGGCTGTGTTGCCGCTGAGAACTATGATGGTGTCTGTGGCTCATGCTTCAGGGAGGGCTGTGTTGATATCCGTTGTCTGTATTGTCACCAGAGACCATGTGGATGTTGTTATGAATTATTGTTGGGGGCGCGCGGTATCCCACACATGCAGGGAAACATGCAGATGCACACAATGGTGGAGTGGCCAATAATTCACAACCCAGACGCTGCATCCACATGGAGAGTTTTTTATAATAGAGAGGAAGAGAGAGACAGAGAGAAGAAAAGAGAGAGGGTGCACACCTCATGGGAGGAAAAGCGGAAGAGATCGAGGAAGAGGAATTTTTCCATAGAATGAGGCTTTTATGTCAGGACGCAGGGCGGCACCAAGGGGTGGAATTTGAAAGGGCAGATCAGAATATTAACAGATGTCCCTGGTCCATGCTGTCCCCAGAAACCATATGAAAGTCCATGATCCATGCCCTCTGACTGTAAAGGGCAAGGAAGCTACTTTTGGGGTGGCATCAATGATTGCAGACTCACAGTTGAGAAAGAGGGACATAGAAGTCTTCTGTGACAACCCCTACTCCCACCCTACCCCACCCCCCAAAAAGTAACAGCCTGGACAGGAACCATTGAGAACCTTTTTGGTTTTTTGAGACAGGGTTTCTCTGTGTAGCACTGGTTCCTGGAACTCGCTCTGTAGACCAAGCTGGCCTTTGGAGTCGAATTTCTAAACAGTCTTAGTAATGGCTGCGGCCCAGCAGGACTGGAGAAATCTCCAGCTACAGGCCTTGAATTCAGATCCACCTGCCTCTGCCTCCTAAGTGCTGGGCTTAAAGGTGGGTATCACTACTGCCTGGCTTTGAAGAGAGCTCTTAAACATTGTGACAAGGGTGCTGAAGTGTAGCTTTCCACAACTGAGGGCTTCTGGCGTGAGTGTGGGTGGGGAAAAACTTAGTTTTCTTTAAGGGGCAGGCTACTGGGAGTTTGACCATGCTCTAGTGAGTGTATGGGAACACAAATTGGACTTATATTTTGTTTTTTTCTTTCGGAGGAGGTTTCATAAGGTAGGGGGTAAACCTGGGAGGACTGGGAAGTGAGTGTGATCAGGGTGTATGATGTGAAATTTCCAAATACAATCAATAAAAATAATATGTGGTGTTTTTGTGTTTGTTTGATTGATTTGTTTTGTTTTTGAGACAGGATCTTACTATGTAGTCCTGGCTGGCCTGAACACTGTATAGACTAGGCTGGCCTCGAACTCATCGAGATCCACCTGTCTCCGTCTCCCAAGTGCTGGGATTAAAGATGTGTGCTATCATGCCCAGCTGTGAAGAAATCTTTAGAATTTATAAAATCTTATCTGTGTGCATAAATGGATATGAATGTGTATGCGCACACAGTCCTTTATCACTCAGCCTATTCTGCACAGGGTCACTGCCTTGAATCTAGGGCTCATGTTTTCTTGGCAAAGCTGGAAGCCAGGAAACCCAAGCAATCCTCCTGTGTCTACCTACCTCAGAGCTAGAATTACGTGGATTTGTGGGTTTCCTGGCCTGTGACATGAGAGCTGGGATCAGAGCTCTGGTCCTGATGGCTGAGCCACCTTTCCCGGGATGCTTTTGGGTGGCATTGGCTTCTGTTTATTCTTGTTCTTGGAAAGTAGGTTTTCTGAGCTTGCCTCTAATTTTGTATCAACTTGACATAAGCTATAGTCATCTGAGAAAGCACACCGAGCAAACTATGAGGAGCAAGCCAGTAAGCAGCACTTACTGCATGGCTTTTGTATCAGCTCCTGCCTTGGCTTCCCTCAATGGACTATGACTCAGGATATGTAAGCCAAATAAACTGTTTCCTCCCTCCAAGTTTCTTTTGGTGTAGTGTTTCATCACGGCAATGAAAACCCTAAGACAGGTTCACTTTTGAATTTTTCCTATCATGGATTAGTCTAATTCTTTTTGTTACATAGTGTGTCATTTTGGTTAAGTGCTATGTTTTTTTTTGGTTTTTGTTTGTTTGTTTATCTGGTTGGTTTTCTTGAGACAGGGTTTCTCTGTAGCTCTGGCTGACTACCCTGGACTCACCTTACAGATCCGGCTGGCCTCAAGATATCCACCTGCCTCTGCCTCCCATGTGCTGGGATTAAAGGCATGTGCCACCATGCCATATCCAGCTCTGTTTAGAGTGCACTGTACAGGTATTAAATGTGTAACTCAATGAGTTTTGGTAGGTACACTGTACTCATTACTACTGACTAGTGCTGTATCAAGATTGAAGAATATTTAGGTAAGTATACCAATGTATACTTGAGACTGGAGAGATGGTTCAGTGGTGGCTGCTTTTCTAGCACACTTGGGTTTGATTCCCAGCACCACATGGCAGCTCATAACCATCTGTAACTCTTCTTCCAGAGAATCTAACACTCTCTTCTGACCTCTGAGGAACCAGACACACAAGTAGTACACAGACATAATGCAGGCAAAATGCCCAGACAACATAAGCAAAAGAAAATTAAATTTACTAAAAGAAAGTAAAAGAAGAAATGTATCCCGTGTCTCCTTATAGGCATTCACTCCACCAGATATATCAGATGAATTTTAATCTGACTTCTGTCACCAAGGACATCTGTTTACAGGGGTGCATGTGTGGAGACCAGGCTTTCCTAGAACTAACTGGCAGTCCTTTTGCTTCTACCCCCTAAATTCTGGGATTGTAGACATAGACCACCATACCAGGCTATTTTTATTTATTTGCAGTGCTGGGCTTCAAACTTGTGTCCTTGTGCATGTCAGCCAAGAGTTCTACAACTGAGCTGTAGGTCCATTGTTGTAAATGTTTGCAAGTTTAATGTAGTTTGTTTTTAGGGGGTAGCTCTGTGGTAGAAAACTTGCCAAGCATGCACAAGGCCATGGGCTTGCTTTCCCAGCAACACACACACACACACACACACACACACACACACACACACACACACACACACACACACAGTGTTTTTAAAATCTGTGTTAAAAAATTATTCAAGTATATGTGGAAATCAGAAGACAGCTTTGTGAAGTTGGTTCTCTCATTTTACCTGTCCGTGGGTGCTGGGGTGGAAATCAGGTTGTCAGGCTTGCATGTGGCAAGTGCCTTTTACAGGTTAGCCTTCTTGCTGACTGTGAATCTCATTTTTTGGTCACATCTTTATGGTACTTTTTTTTTTTTTTTTTTAAGAAAAGTAGTGTTGTTTGCATTTTGTGTGTGGGTGTACATGTGTACATGTACTTGAGTTGTGTCCTCACATGCTCAGGGAACATTTGGAGGATAATTTTTAGGATTCTGGTCTCTTATCCCCTGGGTTCCAAGAATCAAACTTAGATTATGAGGCTTGGGTTGTCTCGTGATATTTTTCATGCTATTTATTTTATTTGTTTGTTTTCCTTTTCAAGGAGTGGACTTATCCTATGAGACGAGAGATGCAGGTATGACAACTTTTAATTTATTTAAGACGCCCCCCATTATTAAATAACTAATGCTTACTTCACAAAGGAGACCTGCTGCCTCATGATCTGTAGGTTTGTCATATTTACCTAGTTATGAATATTATATAATATCTGAGTACATATGAGAACTAAGTTGATGCTATGGGGAATGTAAACATAAGTAAAATATAACTCAGAGTTGTAAAATGCTGTTGGCCATTCCTATAATCTCTGCACTTAAGATGCTGAGGTAGGAGGACAGCCTGGGTTTCAGGGCCAGCCTTAGCTATAAGATAATATAAGATAATAAGATGCTATTTCTAAACAAAAAGAAATCAATGGGCACAGTGCTGTCTGTGGTGATTAATTACAGTTACCTTTGCTGTTGTTTACTGTAATGACAGTTGGATCCTGTTTTATCTTGTACTACTTGTTTTTGATGGGAGGACAGGGTCTAAGTGTGAGCTCCTGCTGGCCTGGAACTTATTATGTTACCCAGCCTGGCTCAAACTCGGGATCCTCCTGCCTCAGCCTCCTGTGTGCTGGGATTATAGATATGTTACACTATACCTGGCTCTTGTATTGCTTTTGTTCTGGCCAAATAAAACTTACTGTAAGTAATTCTAAAGGGAGGATTTTCTTTATGATTGTTTTATTTTTAGGTTGTAGCAGAGGGTAGAAGCTAGAGAGGTTTTATTAATGCAAACATCAATAATATAATGTGCTGATTCTATCCAACCTGCTTATAAAAAGCAATATAGGATTTCAAATATCTGGCTTTTTGGAATAAATTTTAAATTTGGTACATCTCACTTGAATTTATAAAGGTACGCCTGTGTTTCTCATACCAATTTGCTAAATGTGGCTGGGAAATGAGTGCTCCCTGAGTAAAGTATGAACCAGATTATTGCAAAGCCCTGCAAATTCAGACAAATCCAGTTGTATGTTATGTATTTGCTGTAGGTTTAAACTTTACATATGTATTTTCTTCCCCTAGGAAGTTTTGCCTGGATTGTTCTTAGGCCCATACTCTTCTGCTATGAAAAGCAAGGTACGAACTTTAGTTTAGGTTCTCCAAGAGGCTTTAGTAAACCAACTTTTTATCAGTTAAGTTTTCAACAGTAAGAGTTTTTTTTTTTTTTTTTTTTTTTTTTTTTTTTTTTTTTTTTTTCGAGACAGGGTTTCTCTGTGTAGCTTTGCGCCTTTCCTGGAGCTCACTTGGTAGCCCAGACTGGCCTCGAACTCACAAAGATCCGCCTGCCTCTGCCTCCCGAGTGCTGGGATTAAAGGCGTGCGCCACCACGCCCGGCTGTAAGAGTTTTTATTAAGGAACATTTATATACAACTATGTTCATACTACTTGAACCTACTTCCACATTTACTGGACCATTAATAGTTTTGATTTGAGCCAGGCAGTGGTGGCACACACCTTTAATCCCAGCACTTTGGAAGCTGCAACAGGCAGATGTCTGTGAGTTTGAGGCTAGCCTGGTCTACAGGGCTAGTTCCTGGGTAACCAAGACTACACAAAGAAACCCTTTCTCAAACAACAACAACAAAAAGTTTTGAAGTGTTTCAACACAAATTACAAGTTAGTTTTTATAATGAATTTTTCTCATGAAATCTTGTTTTTGACAGATTTGTCAATCCTACAATCTTTAGTAATTTATTTACCATCTTAAGATGTTACATCTTGGAGAGGTTGCAAGGGCAGAAGGCAGATGTGAGGGGATGGGAGATGAGTGGGATTGGAATACATGATGTGAAATTCACAAAGAATCAAGAAAAGTTAAATAAATAAATGGTACATCTGCCAGACATCTTCTGAATAACATCAGATACATTCAAAGTATCAGAGGAGGAAATAGAACATTTTGTTGGCTTTTATCAAAATAAGAGGGCTTTTTTTTTTTTTTGTCGACTACGCTACCCCACCCCCAGACAGGGTTTCTCTATGTAGCTTTGCGCCTTTCCTGGATCTTGCTCTGTAGACCAGGCTGACCTCTAACTCAAAAAGATCTGCCTGGCTCTGCCTCCCGAGTGCTGGGATTAAAGGCCTGCGCCACCACTGCCTGGCTCAAGAGTGCATGTTTTATATTTCATCTTCTTTTAGAAGACTAGAGTCTAGACTACAGATTGGAAATGGACTTTTGCAGTTGCTCAGTTAAAATGGGGGGAGGGGTTATTTTAGTATATAGTGTGGTTCTTGCCATCTTCTAAGGGATTCAGCTGTATGAATTATGGGGATGATGCTAATCATAGTGTGGACCATTGAGTAGCAAATACGTCCCCAAGGATACTTCTGTCAATATCAGTCAGTATACTTCTGTCTGATAGTTCCACGATATAATTTTCAGAGTCATCTTGAAATTGGAAGGTTCTAGAGAGTTGAGGTGACCAACAAAGAAGCTGGAAAGGGTAGGTGGTATAAAAGTGAATAAGCAAATAAAGGTTTGACTTCCTAGAAGATGGTGTCAGCAAAGCTATTGCCCTAATAATGTAATGTTGACCAGTGCTGGTTGTGCCCTTATTAGAATGTGTAATTATGCCTAATAATGGGTCTCACAGTGACATTTTTGTTACATGTATATAAACTATTTCATATTCAGACATTTATCTGTTACCCTCTCCTGTCCCCCACTGACTCCCCTTAATCTTTTTCCCAACTCAGGTCTTTGTGTTTGTGTTTATATATCTTAATCTGAGTTACCTTAATATAGCCCAAATTTCTTCTCATACCACCTCCAAAAAAGTACCTTTCAACAATGAAAATAATGAGGATAAAGAAACCTAAAGGAATAAATTTCTTTTTCAAGATTGATTTACTTAAAGCATATCTCTTTACTACGTTCAAACACCATTTAAATAAAAGAGAAAAATTCAGGTGCTTGGTAACCAGTGATTTATTTCATTAATAATTTTTGTCTATTTGTATTTAAGTTTTTTTAAATACAAATGCATCTATTGAGAGGTATAAATACTCTTTGTGCTATTACATTAGAAATTCATTCTGATAAGGTTTGCTTTACTTAGTCTAATGTGCCTTCAAAGCTTTTAAAGGCGATTATTTTTTTATTTTTTTATTTTTGGTTTTTCGAGACAGGGTTTCTCTGTGTAGCTTTGTGCCTTTCCTGGAACTCGCTTTGGAGACCAGGCTGGCCTCGAACTCAGAAAGATCCGCCTGGCTCTGCCTCCCGAGTGCTGGGATTAAAGGCATGCACCACCACCGCATGCCTTTAATCACCCGAATGCCTTTAATCACCCGGCTTAAGGCGATTTCTTGTTTTGCTTTGCTTTTCGTTGTTGTTTGAAACGGTCTCATTATGTAACTCTAGCCGGCCTGGAACTTGCTTTGTAGACCAGGCTGACCTCACTCAGATCCACCACTTGTGTTTTAGTTAGGATTTCTATTGCTTCAAAAAAACACCATGACCAAAAGGCAGGCATTGCAGTTCATCACTGAAGGAAGTCAGGACAGCAACTCAAACAGGGCAGGATCCCAGAGGCAGGAGCTGATGCAGAGGCCATGGAGCGGAGCTGCTACTGCATTGTTCAACCCACCTTATAGAACCCAGGAAAAGCAGCCCATGGATGGCACCACCCACCATGGGCTGGGCCCTCTCCCATTGATCCCTAAATGAGAAAATGCCTTACAGTTGGATCTCGAGGAGGCCTTTCCTCAGCTGAGGCTCCTTCCTCTCTAGCTTGTATTTAGCTGTATAGGATGAATCTTAAAAGGTCTTATTAATAAAAACAAACCAGGGGGTGGGGGTGGGTTGGGGATTTAGCTCAGTGGTAGAGCACTTGCCTAGCAAGCCCTGGGTTTGGGGGGGTGGGGACAAACAAACAAACCCGGAGCCAGGTATTGGGGTGAACACGGAAAGATCAGAGAAACAGAATAAGCCACAGCTAACCTCACCTCGCTGGTGCCTTAACTGATCTCATTTCCTCAAACTGGAAGCCTCTGTGTCCTCATCCGAATGGATCTCAGCTGAACTGCTGCTGCTAAAAGCCTAAAAGCTTAACAAAGGCTCTAGTTCCTGGTCCTCATGCCTTATATACCTTTCTGCTTCCTGCCATCACTTCCTGGGATTAAAGGCGTGTGTCACCATGCCTGGATGTTTCCAGTGTGGCTTTGAACTCACAGAGATCTGCATAAATCTCTGCCTCTGGAATGCTAGGATTAAAGGCGTGTGCTACCTATGTTTAATATAGTGGCTGTTCTGTTGTCTGACCTCCAGATTAGTTTATTGGGGTGTACAATATATCAACCACATTTCCCCTTTTTTGTTTAAAATAAATAAAAGTTAAGTATATACAATATATACAGTCATGCATTACATCAACAATGTCTAGTCCATTCACATTTGACAGATTCAGACAAAAAATTTCATTTCTGACCCTATTTAAAACAAGTGGTTTCTTTTTAAAAGTAGATTCAATAATCTCCCTTTTATCTTATCATATCCATGTTCTCTCTTTTCTCTTTTCTGAGTAGATTCAAAAGTCTACCTTTTATCTTACCAAAGTTGATACATGTACAGCCTACTTTTGTCTCCCAGGTGCTGAGATTAAAAGATTCTGCCATCATGTCCAGTTACAGCAGATTTCTTTATGTCCTCCTATGGTTTTTCATATTAGTAAAATTAAATAGATGCAGAAGCCCCATCTTGATCATTAAGTGTAAATTAAGGATGCTGAATTAATTTTGAGGGTTGTATTCATGTGAATGTAGAACATTGGATTATTATTAATCCTGTCAAACACTTCTCAGTAATTCATTAAATACTACTGCTTATATCCCAGGGTATAGTCAGAAAATACAAAGATAACTGAACTCTGATCTACACTGACAAGAAAATTTGCTGTCAGTTAACATTTAAAACTTTGAAAATGATATGGTCTTAGTTTGGACACCTCTGATCAAACACCATGGCATGGATTACTTGCTCCTACAGTTGTGGTGCTCTTATCACACAGTGTGCTTCTGGGAGCCTGATGTTGGACATCCTTTGGACAGTATCTCCTTGTTTTATAGTCACATGGGGACAGAGTGAGCAGGTTTTCTTTGTCATATAAAGGTCATACTCCAACATGGGATTTCCATCTCACAGCTTTTTTAAACTAAGACTTTATAATACACTTCTTTCCTTGTATAATTATAACTGCTCAGGTAAGGTAGTGTTTTCTCCATTCTCACATAACAGAACTGAGCCACAAGTCATTGGCCGAGCGGGGATTTCTAGCTTAGTTTCTCATGATTCTAAACTCAGTGGTTTCAGTCAAGATTGTTAATAGTACTGGTTTCTTGACAAATTATCTTTAAGTTCTCATCAAGTGCTAGAATAGTGTCCATGTTAAACTTTAGAGAACATTTTGAGTGTTAATCTTGAATCATTGAATTGTTGTGTGGACCACATCAGGTCGATTACCATAAAATTAGTTTTAATCTTCTGTACTTAAAGATTAGATACGAGTCTTATCTGTTTCCAAACTTACATATTACTGTAAGGTGATGTTTTGTATTTTAAACTATTATTTCTCCCCATTTTTTATAGCTACCTATATTACAGAAACATGGAATAACTCATATAATTTGCATACGACAAAATATTGAAGCAAACTTTATTAAACCAAACTTTCAACAGTTGTTTAGGTAAGAATTATGCTGTGCTTTAGAGAAAAATGTTAAGGTCAAAGCATGTAATGTTTTATTATTGTTGCAGATCTTTGAAGTGTTTAGGATTGAACCCAGAGCCTCAAGCTTGTTAGGCAAGCACTCTGCCTGTCCCACAGTGTCCTTGTTTCAAATTTATTACACTATATAACTTTCCTCTGTAACCACCTATTTTGTAAATATCAGCTATATGGTATATATTTTAATAGAATGTATTTAAAATTTAAATCATGTTCATAATTCTAGAGGTTTAAAAGGATATATACTAAAATGTATTTGTTTCTGTACTCTTACCTCCTAGATACTCAGCCCCCTTCCCCAAAGGCATCTGCTGTTATGTCTTCATTGTGTCCATTCAGAAGCATATAAGCTAATTCCTATAGATGAGGCTGTTTTAATAGTTTCTGAGTCTGCTCTTCCCCCACCCTCACCCTCCTTATACATGGAGGTTAAGGAACAACTGAGTTGAGACTTGGTCTTTTGTTTGCAGCAGCATATGCCAGGTTAGTTGGCCCACAGGCTTTGGGGAGTTCCCTGTCTGTTCTTCCCATTTGCCATAGGAGTACTGGGCTTACGGAAGTGAGCTTCCAAGCCTGGCTTTACTTTTCAAGATACCAGGGTTTTATTTGTTTGGTTTGTTTTTGTTTTTCAAGACAGGGTTTCTCTGTGTAATAGTCTGGAACTTGCTTTTTTTCCGTTTTTTTTTTTTTTTTTTGTTTGTTTGTTTGTTTGTTTTTTGGCAGGTGATGGTTACCTGTCATATTTGGATGTAGGAATCAAATTGAAGTCATCTTCCAGGGCAGTCTGTTCTCTTAACCACTGAACCGTCACTCTAGCCCCCATACTTAGCTTTATTTTATTTTAATTTTTATTACTTACACTTCAGGAAGAGGACATCAAGCCCCCTGGAACTGAAATTACAGTTGTGAGCTGCCATGTGGATGCTGGGAATCAAACCCCAGTCCTCTGGAAGAACAGCCAGTTCACTTAACTACTGAGTTGTTTCTCTAGCTCCCACACCCGACTTTTTATATGGTTCTGGGAATTTGAACTCAGGTCCTCACACTTGCATGGCTGGTGCACTACCCACAGAGCCATCTCCCCAAAACCCACCCATTCTTTTCTTTTCTTTTTTTTTAATTTTTAAGATAGGGTCTTGTGTAGCCAAGGCTTATCTTAGATGAATGACCCTCTTGCCTCAGCTTCCTAAGGGTTTATATGGGATTGTATGCACACTATGCCCAACTTCAGTCAATGTCTTATTGGATATTTCTGTATTTGCAGATTTTCTTATATAGTCGTTTGTCTATATAATATTTAATTACTATCCTTGTGCATGCCATTTAATTTATACATGAATATACTGATAGCGTAAATTTGTAGAGTTGTATCTAAGAATATGAGCACATTACATTTTAATAGGTTGCAGATTGCCCTCCAGTGCAGTAGATCAGTTTACATTTCACTATCAAGGATGAGTGACTATTCTCTTAGCACTTCTCCAAGACAAAGTTATAAAATATGGAAATTTGTTTCCAGTCTGATGGAGTTATAATGCTTTTTCATATAATTTTAACTTCCTCATTTTTTAAAATTTTTATTATTTTTTTCCATTTTTTGAGACAGGATTTCTCTATATAACAGCCCTGGCTATCCTATAACTTGCTCTGTAGACTAGGCTGACCTTGAACTTACAGAGATTGGCCTGGCTCTGTCTCCCAGTGTTGGGATTAAAGGTGTACGCCACCACCACCACCACCACCACCACCACCACCCAGCTTATCATTTATCTTCTAATAAGTGCAGTTGAATAATTAATGGTCTTGATATTTGTTATTTTAGATTCATTTTAAAAATAAAGTTGAGCTTAGTGGTACATGCCTATAATCCTACCACTCAGGAGGGTAAGGCAGGAAAATTATAAATTCAGTGCCAGCCTGGCCTCCATACTGAGACTGACTCATAAGACAGATGATTGGTAAAAGACATGCTAAAGATAAAAGGTAAATGAGCCCCCTGATTATTGGGAGATAGCTATTACCAATGTTTTCTTTAATATCTTTATAGAGATACTGTGTCTCTATAAAAGTATTTGTTAAAAATATCTTTTTTTTAAAACTTGGAATATGTAAGCCAAATATTAAAAATATCTTAATGCTTGTTCTCCTGGTTGTAAAAATGAGTGTAACCTATATACATAAGGCACTCAAATATGTGAGCATCTATTAGAATATTATGTAACTAAACAGGAATGAAATAGACATTTGTGTTGATCTTAGTGATTACAAGAGCAAAGAAGGGTATATATAGATGTGTAGTCTCACTATTTAAAATATTTATACTTTATGCATATAGGTGTTTTACCTGTGTGTACACCTGTGTACCATGTGTGTGCCTGTGCAGGTCAGAAGAGGGCATCAGATCCCCTGGAACTAGAGTTAAGTTGTGAGCTGCCTTGTTGGTGCTGGGAATCAAACTCAGGTCTACAAGAGCAGCCAGTGCTCCTAACTGCTGAGCCATCTCTCCAGCCCCAAGTTTATATATTCTTATATGTACATTGAAAAGTCCTGAATCAACACCCTTGAAGCTTGAGTAGTTGCTTCTGAGGAGGGAAAATCATGGTCCAGGATGGTAAGGAAATCTGTTTTTCATCCTATACAACTTTTCCATGGTTAGATTTTTCTTTTCTTTTCTTTTCTTTCTGCAAGTCAGTATGCTGCCCAGACTGGACTCAAAATTGATCTTCCTGCCTCAGCCTCCCATGGAGCTGGAAGTGTCAGTGAGTATTGCTGCATTCTGCTGTACTCTTACAGAAAATTAAAAGAAAAAAATATCCCCTCCTCAAGGCAAGGTTTATGTTTCTTTGCATACCTCTGACTGTCCTTGAACTCAGAGATCTACCTTCCTCTGCCTCAGAGTGTTAAATTTAAAGGCATAGGTCACCACACCCAGCCAAATTTTTAAATATTTTTATGTTTTGTTTTTTCTTATTTCATTTTAGAGTTGTTTTTAATTGTGAGGAATGTCTGCGTCTTGAATTTTTAGGCATGCAGGAAATGTCTGACTTACTGCAGTTTTAGAGTTGGAGGTGTTGATGGCAAGATCCAAAACGGGCAGGGAACTAAAGTGATGCATGGATTTTGCTTGGGTCAGGGATGGTAGAAGGTGCTGGCTGTGAGCTGGATGTGTTCCCTCTAAAGGCTTCTGTCCTGGTACTTACTGGGTCTGCAACTTGGGTGTAGATGGTGCTGCCTTCCTCCTGTTTTCAGGGGGCAATTATGTTAGGTTTAGGACGAACCTGGGAAGTAAACAGAACATCAGCAAGAAGACTGTGCAGTCCTCTGCCATTCTATAATCCTGGGAAATCCTTCCGAGAATAGATGTTTTCCACTAGACTTTTCATGGGGTTTTAGGAGGTTGATAGTTGTACTGGTTGATGATGTTGGAAATGGCACCATAGACCTGTTGAGTACTGCAGGTCCCCAATGTTGATAGACCCTTTGGTTTGTACATGGGCTTCCCTTAATCCTGAGCCTTAACATCTCTCTGTTAAGACCTGAATTGTTTGAAGTTGTTACCTCTAAAAGGTCATAAAAACTCCATATTGTTAAAATCCAAAATGATTTATAATACTGATTTCATAATTTAGCTACAGTTTTGTCCTTAAACAAGTAATGTTGGATAGGTTGAAGTTAGAAGTTTTTTTGCAAAATATATTAAACATAGTATGATGGTGGCACCACATTTTGTTTTCTAGCATAAAATCCCAGGATAAGAATTCTCTTAGCTGTTTTTTGCTTGACTGAAGTGTTTCACCAGACTTTTTTTTAAAAAAATGTATTATTTCCAATTGTGTGTAGATATGTGAGTGTGTGCATGTGAGTGCAGGTGCCCTTGGAGGCCTTTGGCATCAATCTCTCCGGGGTTGAAGTTTAGAGGCAGATGTGCACTACCTGATGTAAGTGCTGGGACTCGAACTCAGGTCCTTTAAAAGAGCAGCACATGCTCTTCACTGCTAAGTCATCCCTCCACTCCCTTATTTTGTTTTTTGAAACTGGGATCTCAGTAGCTCAGGCTGGCCTGGAACTCAGTAGTCTTGCTGCCTTGCCACCCCCCCCCCCCAAATGCTGCAGCTACAGGCCTGAGTCACCACACCATTTTGTTGTTTTGCTCCTCTCCCTCAGTCAAACATTAGACGTCCTTTGAAATGTCCTTGAACCTTCAGACGCAAGGAACACCTTCAGAACTCTAGAGAACCATCTTCTGCTCTTCAGATAGAAATGGAAAATGGGAATGAAGAGTATATGTACTTGTATATATTTTCTAGCTCCTTTCACGGTTTTTGTTTTAACTAGATAAACATTTTGTTTTAACTAGATAACAGTATAAACATTTTATACTGAAATTCAGGTGCTGTGTTGCAAGGCTTTAAATGTCCTCAGACAACATAAATCTATGGCACAATCCTTAGAGATGTGATACTTTAAAAATTATTTTGCACTTTTTGTGATTATCGAAAAATTATCAGAGGCTAGAGAGATGGCTCAGTGGTTAAGAACACTGACTGCCCTTGCAGAGGACCTGGGTTTGGTTCCCAGAAGCCACATGGTGGCTCACAACCATCATAATTTCACTTCGAAGTGTCCTCGCTGGCCTTCTTGAGTACCAGGCACGCATGTGGTAACATACATACATGCAGGCAGAACACTCATACACATTATAAAGTCTTTTTAAAGAATTATCAGACCAGGCATAGTATACGTCTTTAATCCCAGCACTGGGGAGGCAAAGTTCTAGGACAGTCAGGGCTACATAGAGAGAAAAGGAAAGAAAAGAAAAGAAAATGAAAGGGAAAAAAGAAATAAGCAGGTTTTTTTTAAAGGTGGAAAGTTTGGAGAAGGATGTGGAGTCTCTATTTGGGAGGTTTATGGGGGGCAGGGTATGAATATGCTCTAAATATACTGTATGCATGTATGAAATTCTCAAAGAAATTACAAAGCTTCACACATTAAAGATATACAGGAAAGTGGAGCTCACAGAATAGCTTAAAAAGTCAAACTAGGGGCTAGCTCAGCGATTAAAGAGCACTGACTGCTCTTCCAAAGATCCCGGGTTCAAGTCCCAGCACCCACATGGAAGCTCACAATTGTCTGTAACTTCAGTTCCAGGGACCCAACACCTATGGCAAAACATCAGTGAACATAAAATATTTTTTAAAAAAAGTCAAACTAGATGGGCAGTGGTGGCACATGCCTTAAATCCTAGTACTCGGGAGGCAGAACCAGACGGATCACTGTGAGTTTGAGGCCAGCATCATGGTCTACAGAGCACCAAAACTACCCACAGAAACCCTGTCTCAAAAAATTCAAAAGAAAAAAAGTCAAATTGTTAATACACAGACCTCACATACATAAGTTGCTTGCATGAAGATCAATAGAAATATAATGATTATAATTTATCCTTTTTATAATAAAGAGATAAGATGTTATTTTGGTTTTAAAACATCAAGTTTTTGTGTGGAGATTTATCCAAAAGTATACTTACCATAAATATTTTGTTTTCAGATATTTAGTTTTGGATATTGCAGATAATCCAGTTGAAAACATAATACGTTTTTTCCCTATGGTAGGTATAAGTATTTTAATATCTTAAAACTTATGATTTAGGCTTATTAATTTAGATCTTAAACCACTTTTATGTCATTATGGCTGGAAAAAATGTAAGTTTACTTTAAAAAGAAAGTGAATTACTTAAAATTTAAAAATATCACTGAGGTTTTTTTTTTTAATTGTATTACATTTTATGTGTGTGTGCTCATGCATGAACACTATTGTTGTGCATATGGTGTGCATATGAAGATCAGAGGACAGATTTTGGGAGTCTGTTCTTTCCACCATTTGTCCTAGGCTGGAATTCAGGTCATTGGGCTTAGTGGTAGGTACTTTTACCTGCTGAGCCATCTTGCCAGCCCAAGAGTTTTGATTTTTAAAGATTAGGTATTGCTCCATAACTCAGGCTGACATTAAACTTGAATCTTTTAAACTCAGCCTGTTTTTGTTTTACTGTATTACATGTTTATCTTATTCTACATGTTTTACTGTAACGTGTTGTCTCTTGCCCTCAGACTAAAGAGTTTATTGATGGAAGCTTACAAAATGGAGGTAAAAAATAGTTTTTCTACTATTAAAGATTTATTTATTTTATGTGTGTGAGTATTTTGCCTACATGTATGTATGCACTACATGTGTGCCTGGTGCTGCAGAGGCTGGAAGAGGTCACTTGACCCCATGGAACTGTGGTACAGACAGTTTTAAGCTGCCATGTGGGTGCTGAGAATCAAACTTGGTCTTCTGCAAGAGCTACAATGCTCTTAACTCCGGAGCCGTGTCTCCAGGCAGTAGTGTTTGTTATCTTTTAGTTGATACTTTCCTCAAAATGTAGGATAGGGAGATTCTATTTTTATATGGTAGACAATTTTCAATGTTTCCCACTACTCCATCTTGTTATGCTTTTTAAAAGTTTCCACTGAACTACTTTCAGTTTCTCTCAGTCTGTTGTATTCTCTACATAATTAAAATAAAGACTTGAAAATTAATAGCTAAGTGGCATGTATATGATACAGAATATTTAAGGAAGACTCACTGCAGCCTTTAATGTGGTTTTAGTATATTTTATGCCCGAACTCTGGTTTTTTTTCAGATAATTAACTATTTTTTAAACTTTTTCAGGAAAAGTTCTTGTCCATGGGAATGCAGGTATCTCCAGAAGGTATGAGGGTAGCTAATCTTTGTCTTTTACGTTCAGTTGTGAGCGTGTTTTCTAATTGTTTCTCTGTCTTCAGTGCTGCCTTCGTTATTGCATACATCATGGAGACGTTCGGGATGAAGTACAGGTGAGTGAGCACCTTCACTCACCCTCACGTAAATGGACTTCATAGAAATAGTTGGGCTTTTACGGCTAAGTCTTTCTTTCTTTCTTTCTTTCTTTTTTAAATATAGTCATAATTGATTATTCAAAACTGGAAAACTACTTGCCAGTAGGGAACTAGTTTCAGTTTTAAAACTCTGGATACAAATTTTGGTGTTCTTTATTTCAATTGATGTATACTAGGTGTGGTAGAATATACCTGTAGTCAAAATACTCAGCAGACTAAAGTAAAGGGATTACTGTAAATTTAAGCCATAGCCTGGCCTGCACATCCAAGGCTACAAATTGAGACTGTGTCTAAGAAAAAAAATACCTTAAGTCCCACTCGTATTAAGAACTGAATGAAAAATTAATTAGAAATTGTCTGTAGTACCCATCTTTTACAATCATAGTACATAGATTTTTAAAGATTTAGGACCTTTGTAACAAAAACCAAGCTAGTGTAGAATATTACCTTAGTCTTAGGAAAGTTGGCAATCCTGTCAGCTCTATATCACTTCCAAACTGAAAAGTATTTACCTCTCTGGGCTATAGAAATGGCTGAGGACCCAGGTTCAGTACCCAGCACTATGTGGTGGCTTACAACTGTCTGTTAACTGTTTCAAGGGGTTGAACATTTTTCTGGCCTCCTGGAGGCACCACATACACACATACATGACACAAGCAAAGCTCTCGGATACAATTTTTTTAAATAATTGCCTCTGATAGATTTAAGGAGAATGGAAAGCATTGCTTTCAGTTATGTACCCATTAATGACCCCACCAGGCTCCAATACATAGTTCCAACTCAGGGTCACACATTAAATGTTGTATGACAAGGTTATTCCTGTGAAGATGCAACACACATCTACTCACCTCAGATATGGAGCCCACGACAGATCAAAGCATGGATATCACCACAACCCAACTTGGTGAACTAGTGAATTTTACTGACAGAAATATGGGTGAGGGGTTACTTACAGAAGCAAAAATGAACCAAAAGACAGCTGCATCGCCAAAGCCCACCCCAGCCTGGCTGACAGCTCACAAAAGCTGGGAACCTGGAACACTGTGAATGTTGGAGATTGTACTTCCCATGTGACTTTGTCCTTGTGTGTAAACCTCTTTCAGGCAGCTCAATGCTTATCCGCTTCTTCAAGGTAGCTTGGCTTGTCTGAGAGTGACTCTCAACAGTATTGACTCTTTGGAGCTAGGAGTTAGTGAGTCTGATCAGTTTACGGGACTTCCTGAAGCTGTTGAGTTGTTTGCTTTAGCTTCCCTGCAGGAAGGAATGTTTCACCTTGGAGGAAATTGTTGCACAACAGTGTCACAACACCAAAAATGATTACTCCCTGAAAGGGACTGGTAGACTGAAGAGGCAAGGTCCAGAGCCCCAGAGAGGAATCAGGGTGGGTTGATAGTGATGGGAAGGTGATAGGAGGTAGGGGAGATTGGATTCATGTGTGAAATTGTCAAAAATGATTGATAATTTTTTTAAAGATTTCAATACAAAGTACTTGAAAAAATATTTAACATGCATCAATAGACTATATTTGATGTTATCTTTATTATTTGGAATCAGTAATGTCCATAATCTCTTGATTCCATTGTACTTACTACAAGATATCACAGGTAAGCCTTACAACACAAAGGAGTTCTTATTCATTTAATTTTGAAGCATGTGACAGGTATGCTATGTGCACAAAGTGCTTTACACTTCTCTCACTTTCACAGTAGTCCTCCAAAATCAGCACTATAATACCTGTTTTACCATCGAGAAAAAGTTGAGCAACTTCCCTGTGATACGTGGTGAGCCTAGGAACTGTGAATTTACTTGGTTTAGCTTCTATCAACTGCAATGTACCACCTCTCTATAGTATTAAACTGTATAACTAGGATTTCCTACTTTGGCACATTTTTTAGGTGATTTTTAATGTTGTGGGGTTTTTTTTTTTCCAGCTATATTGGGCATTGAACCCAGGCCCTTGCATGGCTAAGATGCTACAGAGCTCTTTCCCCAGCCTTAGGAGAAATTTCAAATTCAAATTCTTAATGGAAAAATATTAGATTATTTCATGAACTAGTTCCCTTACATTAATTTAATTTCTCTGTTTTCAGAGATGCATTTGCTTATGTCCAAGAAAGGAGATTTTGTATTAATCCTAATGCTGGATTTGTCCACCAACTCCAGGTAATGAACTATGTTTATAGTCTTTTTAAGGATTAAAATGGCTTGTCTATATATCTTTGGTGTAGTATTTGGTGTAAATACTTGATATTACTATAATCTGACTAAATTGATGATTCCAATTTTCATCTTTACTTAAATGGTTTCTTTTGGTTTGGGATTTTTGAGATAGGTTCTCTCTATTATGTAGTCCTGGCTGTCCTGGAAAACTCTATGTAGACTAGGCTGGCCTCGAACTTACAGAGATCTGCCTGCCTCTGCCTTCCAAGTACTAGGATTAAAAGCATGTTCCACTTCACTCATCCCTTATAAGTATTTTTTTTCTTAAACCAGCCCTGGTAACTCATGTCTGTAATCCCAGCACTCAAGAGACTGAGCCTTGAGGATTGCCATGAATCCCAGGCAAGCCTGGGCTGCAGCTGAAATGATCAAGAAAATGGGTTAAAATGGGTTAAAAGTGTGTTGTTGAATACAAGGTAGAGGCCGGGCGGTGGTGGCCCATACCTTTAATCCCAACTTTCAGGAGGTAGAGGCAAGCAGATCTCTGAGTTTGAGCCCAGCTTGGTCTACAGAGCGAGTTCTAGAACAGCCAGGGCTACATGGAGAAGGACTGGGGAGATGGCTTAGAAGGCTGAGGTGCCTATAGCAAAGAACCAAATTGTCCTCTGACCTTCACATACACTGCAAATGTGTTCCTTCTCTCAGTCAGTCAATTTAAATGAATAAATAAAAGCAAAGCAAAATTATATACAGGGGAGAAAATGTGTTAACCCCGCCCCCCCCTTTTTTTTTCTACTTGTTGTTTGTTTTATAGAGACAGGGTTTCTCTGTGTAGTTTTGGTGCCTATCATATGGATATCGCTCTGTAGACCAGGCTGACCTTGAACTCACAGAGATCCACCTGGCTATGCCTCCCCAAGTGCTGGGATTAAAGGCCTGTGCCACCACTGCCCAGTTTCCCCAAACACACACCAATTTTACAGTACAGAAAACTTCAAAATTTTTTTATTTTGTTTTACATTTGTTTTGTTTTGTCTTTTGTGGAGATCCGCCTGCCTCTGCCCCTCAAGAGCTGGGATTAAAGGCATGTGTCACCACCGCCTGGTGGGTCTCAGGTCTTGCTGAACCTGATACATACGTTATAAGTTTCTTTGCTTTTTTTTTTTTTTTTCTTTTTGGCCTTGTATGAAAACATTCATTTTACAGCATATTGTTGTACTTGAAAAAGTAGGATATAATATGATAAACAGAATAAAAATTTAGCAGTGTGTAAGAATCAGATGTAAAGTAAGTCCTTTTAATAATATATCTTGAAGAAACCAAGTGTGAGGTCATATGCTATAATTTCATTTAGGAAGCAGAGCCAGGAGGATCACTGCAGGTTCAAGGTCAGCCTGCTCTACATAGTAAGACAGGGCATCCAGGGCTGCATAGCAAAGACTGTCCACAAATATTGTTGGACCCCAAAGTTTAGGGTCTCAAGTGGGCGCCCCAAGAACCCAGACTCCAGCCCAGTTGATGCAATAGCAGGAGGATTTATTAAGCTTCTGTACAGAAGGGCTCCTCTGCTCCCAAGAGCAAGAGTCGCATCTTACTGCAGCCCCATAAGGGCTTATAAAGGAAAAACCCACAAAACCCACAAGATTACAATTCCCATACAATTTCCTTTCACAAGATCATGGTCTGGTTATAGAGTGATCACAGAGTGGGTACAGTTATGTCAACAGGTACATTCTTCCTGAAACCTCAAGGCGGGTATCAGGGCAGGAGTGGAGTTTACACAAAGGTCACAGTGGTCCTTCCTGGAACACCTGCAACTATCCCAGTCACAGTTGAGCACATCTCTTAACAGAAATCTTTTTACACTGTTATATGGTTGCAGGGGAGATTGAACAATGGCTAAGTCAGGTTGCCCTTGGAACTAGATTTTTAGTTCCTCATTTCCTGGTGCTTAAAGTTTCTCTTTTCTGAGGCTTGGGGGTGTAAGCCTGAAGGGCTAGGGTCTTTCATTATATAGAGAGTATGTAAAAAATTAATTATATATAGAAATTAAGTATATTTGAATAATTGTGTTTAAAAGATAATATATCTTGAGCATATTTTTGTAATACACAGTCACTGATCACAAAATGTTTCCATGCATAATGGACCACATATACAATGGTGGTCTCCTAAGACTACAGTAGAGCTGAAGGTACTGTATTACATAATGACCTTAGAGTCATCATACCATTTCAGTGCAGTGTGTTACTTTTTTATGTATATAGGTGAGTTGTATACATGGGTATGTGCCTGATGCCCTTGGATGCCTTGGGACTGGTTACAGATGGCTGTGAGCCACCATTTTGGTGCTGAGAACTGACCCTCCGGTCCTCTGAAAGCAGACAGTACTCCTCCTGATCGCTGAGCCATCTGTCCAACCCCACAACTTGTTACTCTTGGATTCGTGGTGATGCTGGTAGAAACCTTCCTGCCATAGTTGACACTCAAGTAGAGAAGTGCTTTCTGATGAGAAAACCTGGTCATTCTGGCTAATATCTTCAATGGGGACTATAGAGAAAATTGAGGGCAACTGCCATAAGCAAGTAGACCAATTTAAAGGAATTAACAGAAGTCGAGAGATAAATCCTGGGAGCTGGTGAGATTGTTGAGTAAGGAAAGGCACTTGCCACCTTACAGGACAAGCCTAAGGCCATGATCCTGATCCCTGAAATCCCTGTAAAGGTAAAATAGAACCAGCTCCACACATTTGTACTCGATCCTCCACATGTGTGCTGTAGCAAGTACATATAGACAAGAATAATAAATACAAAAAGATTGGTTTAAACAAAAGTGGTAGCAGAGGGAAAAGAGATGAGGTACTGGGTTTATTTGAAAGCGTTGCTACCTGGCAGGACTTGATATTTGATGGATATAGGTTCTGAGGGGGTGAGGATAAAGATGAATCTGTCTTTCTCTCTCTCTTTTTTTTTTTTCCAGACAGGGTTTCTCTGTGTAGCTTTGGAGCCTGTCCTGGAACTCACTCTGTAGCCCAGGCTGGCTTCGAACTCACAGATCTGCCTGCCTCTGCCTCCCGATTGCTGGGATTAAAGGTTTGCGCCACCACCGCCTGACTGAATCTGTCTTTTGATTGAACAACTCCAAGATAGCTCATCACTGTTAGAGAGGAAACAAGGGGTGATTTGCAGAGTAAAATCAAGAGTTGGGTTGTTTTTTTTTTTTTAACTTGGTTTTCTGGTGCAGAGCATTAAACTGATAACCTTCTACGTGCTAGCCAAGTACTACATTCCTATCCTAGCATCTGAGATTTTGATTCTGTCAGGGTTAGAAAGAATAGAGAGGAAGTACACAATTACATGCATGTAATCAGGAGACACACTCCTGTGTGTAAGCATTGGATGAAGAGTTAAGATGGGAATGTAGCTAGTGGTAGCCTGCTTCTGACCTAGCTTGCTGGCATGGACAAGGCTTCAGGTTCAGATTCCAGTAGCAGGGTAAGGAGTGTTTGATGGAGTTGCATTTGCCATGCTCATACACCTGAAAGCCCAGGAGGAGGGAGGGTCAGATTTCAAGGCCAATCTCAACCAAATGGCACACTGGAAGTCAGCCAGGGTTCTTTGCAACTCTGCCTCCAAAACAAACAAACAAACAAACAAACATTTCAAAGGCAGAACACTAGGGCATTCAGGCATGCAGAGGATGAGGAAATAAAACTAACAAAGGAAGATCCTGGTGGTCTGCTTTCAGAGGTGTTGGGTGAAGACTGCAGAAGGGAGGAGTGGTCCCCTACTTCAAAGACTTTGAAGTCCCTGTGGGACAGTTTGTTCAAGGAAAACTAGGAAAGGAGAATTTTGTTTTTGTTGATTCTTAGAACCATTTAATAAGATTACAGATTTAAGTTTTAGGTCCCTCTACCCTTGTACTATTATAACATAGAATGAGACCATTATAGCTAATGCCCCAGTGGCAGAACTTCCATTCTGTCTGGCAGTGAGCTATTGGCACTACTGAATTTCTAATGATCAGTAACCGACAGTTACCAGGTAGGAATTGTGAACCTTCATTGTAGATGTAACGGTCTTACTAAATAAGAAACACAGAGCCAAATACAGAGTTAAAAGCCCAAGAGGTCAGAGTAGTAGCTAAGAGCTGAGACTAAAACTCTTTCTTACCCCTTGCTGCTGCTGCTGCTGCCTTCCTTTCCCTCTGAAAGAGACCTACTTCCTGTGTGTCTGTCATTTTATTGACTTTCTGTTCTGCCTTCTCATTGGTTGTAAACCTAACCACATGACCTCTTCATCACTGCCCGTCTGTACAGACCTCCAGGTCTCTATGGTTGGTATTGAGATTAAAAGCTTGTGTCTCCATGCTGGTGGTGTCCTTGAACACACAGAGATCTGCCTGTCATGCGATCAGGGATTAAGGGCGTGTGCTACCACTGCCAGACTTCTGCTGTGACTTGCTATTAGCTCTGACCCCCAGGCACTTTTATTTATTAACATACAAGTAAAATCACATTTCAGCACAAATAAAATATCACCATACTTCATTCATGAGACTACGGTACCAGCCCTTTGGCTGTAAACTAAGAATACAAATGTCCACATTAACCATTGTTTGGGTATTTAAGAATATAAATGTATATCTGAACTAATTAAGGTATTATTTTTAGGAATACGAAGCCATCTACTTAGCAAAATTAACAATACAGATGATGTCACCACTCCAGATAGAAAGGTCCTTATCTGTTCATTCTGGTACCACAGGTAAGGGTGTTTCCTTTTTCAGAAAGTTGAAGAGAAAGGTACTGGTGGGGAGTAGAAAAGCATCTGATAAATGTTCAGTGTACTACTGAGCAATGTAAGTTGTTTAGAAATGCTGAATAAACTATTTACAGTTTCAAAGGATTAGCTGTCTAGTGAATAAACAGTATATGTACCTCTGATGTGCATAAACTATAACGCAGAGACATTTACAATAGCCGTTGAAGAGCATGTATTACTTGGTTTAATTTTCAGTCTGTTAAGTTGTAAAACTTGTACAGATTAAAATAAGCACAGTTTGGATAACTTGTCTGACACAAAAAATGTGGTTTTTGGGGGGCTCTGGAGAGATGGCTCAGTGGTTAAGATCACTGGCTGTTCTTCCAGAGGACCTGAGTTCAATTATCAGTAACGACATGATGCTTACAACCATCTGTAAGAAGGTCTGGTGCCCTCTACTGGCCTGCAATACATACATGCAGACAACACTGTGTACATAATAAATAAAGCTTTAAAAAAATAAAAAGTGGCCAGGTGGTAGTGGCGCACACCCTTAATCCCAGCACTCGGGAGGCAGAGCCAGGAGGATCTCTGTGAGTTCAAGGCCAGTATGGTCTACAGAGCACCAAAACTTCACATTCAAAAAAAAAAAAAAAACTGTCTCCAAAAACAAAACAAAAAAGTAGTTGTTGGGTGTGGGAGCATGTACCTATAATCCTGCACTGGGTGACCGAGGCAGGAAAATCATATAAGACCTTGCCTCAGAACAAAATGAAAGAAATGATTTATGCATGAAACTGAAGTTCAACAGTATTAACTAATGTGAGCTACCCCAATTTTTGACAACTACTATCCTGGGCTTTTGTTGTTTTTAAGCTTTATTTTTTTATTTTATGTGTGTGAGTGTTTGGCGTGCATGTATGTACCTATATGCACCATGTGCATGCCTAGTTTCTGAAGAGATGAGAAGATGGCAGCAAATCACTGGAACTGGATTTATAGGTGGGTATAGGCCACCAAGTAAATACTAGGAATCAAACCTAGGTCCTCTGCAAGAGCAGCTGGTGTTGCTTACTGCTGCGCCATCCCTCCAGTTGGTGGTTGCTCTGAGACTGGGTCTCACTATGTAGCACTGGCTGTCCCAAAACTGGCTATGGAGACCAGGGTGAACCGGCACTTAGCTGGTGAAATGGATTAGTGGGTTACAGTGTTTGCTACTAAACCTGACAACCTGTCTGGTCTCCTGGACCACATGGTACAGAGAGAACTGCCTCTACCTTCCAAGTGCTGGAATTAAAGGTGTGTGCAACCACACCCACCTACTCCTTTGCTCTCTCCTCTGATCCACTTATTTCATAGGTAACAGTCTAAGCAAACTCTCAACCTTTTATCTTCTTTTCCAAGTTCTTGCTGCTCATTTGTAACAGTTCTTGTAAGATTAGAGCAGGTTATGTGCCTATTGTTGAGCTGGCATTGAAGCACAAGTCCAGAATGCACCATTCAGGCCAGATGTTCCTTTCTTGGGCTCAGCTTCCCAGTTATCCTTGACTCTTTAATCTTGACCCTCCCTCCAATCACTGTTTCAACACTGTAATGTTTGCCAGAATCTTTAAAGCACACTTCCTTCCAAATAGTACTTTAAACAAAGGCTAGTTAGGTCAACACGAGCCTCTGAGCCAGATTATCCTGGTATATTCTGTACATTGTGGTCAAATTTATTTTCTCACTTGTAATGATGTTTTGTTTTGCCAAAGACTTCATTGACTGTTCTCGAAGAAGTGTAGACTGGGAGATCTAATGGTTCTCATGAAGAGCCACAGGTAGCAAAGGTTCCCATATGTAGTAAAGCCCTTCTGGCTTTTCAGTTTGTGTTTCATTGCTCCTCTTAGTGTCTACCCTCCAAAACACTAAGTGGATGGTCTCCTGCAGTGGTTTTCTTGCTGTGCGTAAGATTCATCTTCTCTGTTCTTCCACACAGCTTAGATGCCATCTCCTCAAATGAGGCAGGGTTAGTGCACTCTTCTCCAACCCCTAGTGGGGACTCCTGGAGAAGTGCATCACTGCACCTGAAACTCCTATCAATCACCTGTATTTAGCTTTAGGACTTTCTTTCCACTTTTACTCTGTTGATGCTATATTTACACCTGGTTAGAATTTGCATTCTGAATTATATTATGATTTACCACAACTCTAAATCTACAGCCAGGCTGTCGTTAGTCACAGAGCACAGCCGACTGCCAGTTTAACTCTTCCTTCAGCTTTCCCTCCAGGAGACCCCTTTCTCAATGTAACTGCAGCCATGTAGAGATAATTTTCTTTCTTTGTGGGATGTTTCTGTACA